TACTGATGTAAGAGATTTCTTCTTTTCCGGTATAAGTTTTTGATGGTATAAAGTTCTGTATAAGTCTTATTTTACTCATATCCCGCAAGTTTTGATAGATTGTGTTTTCATTTTAACTCATGAATTTGTAATATTTTGTCATTCTTCGCTTTGATCCAACGGTAATGTAGAAAGCCTATTATTTAATTCCCAAATATTTGAGGGATTTTTCAGATATCTTTCTGTTACTAATTTCTAATTCCATAATTCTAATTCATAATTCCATTGTGATCAGGAAATATATTTTTACTTCTTTCATGTTTATTGAAACTTAAAATAGAACATGGCCTTGCTCTATTTTTCATGTGGACGTGAATGAGGATTCTGATGTTTTGTGGTGGAGTGTTATGTCCATTAGGGCATTTGGCTGACACTGTTGTTCAGGTTTTCAATATCCTTATTGATTTTTTACTAATTTGTTTACAACTGCTAGAGAGGAGTGTTGAAATCTCTACCATCCTAGAGAATTTGCCCGCTTATCCTTTCAGTGCTATCAGGTTTTGCTTCCTGTATTTTGAAACTATATTATGAAGTGCATAGAAACTTTTTTTAAAAGATTTTATTTATTTATTTGACAGACGGATATCACAAGCAGGCAGAGAGGCAGGCAGAGAGAGAGGAGGAAGCAGGGTCCCCGCTGAGCAGAGAGCCCGATGCAGGGTTCGATTCCAGGACCCTGGGATCATGACCTGAGCCGAAGGCAGAGGTTTTAACCTGCTGAGCCACCCAGGTGCCCCAAGTGCATGTAAACTTAGGATTGTTGAGTTTTATTGATGAATTAAGCTTTTTTTTTTTTTTTTAAAGATTTTGTTTATTTATTTGTCAGAGAGAGAGAGAAAGAGAGAGTGAGCACACGCAGACAGAGTGGCAGGCAGAGGCAGAGGCAGAGGGAGAAGCAGGTTCCCCGCTGAGCAAGGAGCCCGATGCGGGACTCGATCCCAGTATGCTGGGATCATGACCTGAGCTGAAGGCAGCTGCTCAACCAACTGAGCCACCCAGGCATCCCAAGCTTTTTATCCTTATAAAATGTGCCACTTTTGGGGCTCCTGGGTCGCTCAAAGTTAAGTGTCTGCCTTCAGCTCAGGTTCCTAGGATCGAGCCCCACATCAGGCTCCCTGCTCGGCGGGAAGCCTGCTTCTCCCTCTCCCACTCCCCCTGCTTGTGTTCCCTCTCTTGTTGTGTCTCTCTCTGTAAAAAAAAGAAATAAAATCTTAAAAAAAAAAAAATGGTGTCACTTTTCCCATGGTAACATTTCTTGTTCTCTCTTCTATTTTGTTTGTTAGTAATATAGCCATCCAGCTTTCTTTCAATTAATTTTGTTTGGTATATTTTTATCTACCTTTTTATCTTTAACTTATCTGTGCCTTTATATTTAATATCAGTTTCTTGTGGACAGATTATTATTGGGTCCTAGTTATTTTTGATCCAATGTGAAAATTCCGCCTTTTAATTAGAATGTTTAGACAATTATAGACAAAATTAGTAATTATTCATATAATTGGGCTTCATTCCACCATCTTTCTACACTTCTAAGTATCAATCACACCTGTTCTTTGTTTCTTTTCCTTTTTTTCTTGCTTTTCTCTGGATTATTTGAGTATTTTTTATAATATACTTTTAACTACATTATTGGCTTATTAAGTTATAGCTCTATTTTTTAACTTCATAATATACATCTTTCACTTATCACAATCTACCTTCAGCTAATATTATATCACTTCACATATAGTGACAAATTTCCAACAGCATATTTTATTTCTTCTTTATCTATTGTATGATTGCTGTCATGTCATTTGCCTCTACCTGTTATAGTCCCAAAATATGTTGCTATTGTTTCTCCTTAAATACTCAATTATCTTTTGAAGAGATTAAAAATGAGGGGGAAAAATCGTTTATATTTATATATATATAAAATAAAATACATTTATATATACTTGCCATATCCTATGCTCTTCATCCCTTTGTTCATATTCAGATTGCCATATGGAATTATTTTTCTAAGTCTAAAGAATTGCTTTAAACATTTCTTGTAGTGAAGATCTGCTGGTGACCAATTATTATATCTTTTCCTTATTTGAGAATTCTTTATTTCACCTTCAAATTAAAAGATATTTTTTCTGGTTATAGAATTCTAGGTCTGTTTTCTTATTTTTTTCTTTTTTCAAGATTTTATTTAAATTCAAGTTAGCTAAAACATACAGTGTAATACTAGTTTCAGTTGTTGAATTTAGTGACTTTCACTTAAATACATAAATACAACACCCAGTGCTCATCACGAGTGTCTTCCTTAATACCCATCACCCATTTAATCCACCCCCCCCACCTCCCCTCCAGCAACCCTCAGTTTGTCTTCTGTAGCTATGAGTCTGTTTTCTGGTTTACCTCTATTCCCTGCCCCCATGTTAATCTGTTTTGTTTCTTAAATTCCATACAAGTGAAATCATATGGCATTTGTCTTTCTCTGTAGATCTGTATTTTTAAAAAATATTTTTAAACATTGCTCTATTATTTTCTTATCTGCATGGTTTTTGGTAAGAATTCTGCTCTCCTTTTTATTTTTGTTGTTCTCCCGATAGTATCTTCTTTTTCCCCTCTGGCGGCTAAAGGTTGTATTAAAAATTAGGTCTGAAACTTGTAGTGTGGCAGAGTTACTTGGAAACTAAATTCATAGCTCCAGGAAGTCTCCTTGACTAAAACGAGGATCCAGAGACGTGGGATGGCTACCTTTGCAGTCGAGACATTAAAACACCTGAGTCTTTTCATCTCTTGCTGGAGAAGAGTAGACTCCTACTGCTTGTAGATCATGCAAAGTTCTCATCCGAAGCAGACGTATTGCAAGATGATTCATGTCTTTCTCAAATCTGCCTGGGTTTAACCTCATTGCATCTAGACAAAGAACTAGGTTTCAGCCTCCGAATGAACTGAACAGAGAAGTACTGTCCCTGAAATGAGAGACAATGGATTATTTCCCCCATCCCCAAACCTGCAGGACTTGGCAGGAACCAGGAGAGTGAGTCTGGGAGTGCGTATGAAAAGTATTGTTTGACAGAGCAGGGAATGGAATATAAATCTTGACGGGGAGAGTTTATCGATATGGGCATTTCCCTCAGATGAGTATCCCATGACTGATGATTTGACCTCCTAGCAAGGATGCCTAACACACTGTGAGAATGGTTCCTTGATCTTTGGAGATCATGATGGCCCACGGTCGTGGAGTTCCCAAAACTTCCCTGACAGTATATTAGGAAGTGTTTAGAAGGTTTAGAAAACTGGTCATTCTAGAATAGATCCATCATGTAGGACCAGAGGGACCTCCCCTCTCTGTTTCCTGAAGGGATACTCCCCTCTCTGAAGTGGTAAAGGATGAAAAGGAATTATGAATAGCCAAGGTATGAAAATGTACTCAGGCTATACACATTAAGGGCACAATAAGACACAACCTTATATTCATAAAAAGCCTGACAATTCCTTTTATCAAGCTGAGATGATGTACTAGACATCATTTTCAATTTTCTTGAGATCTTAACAAAGTCTTTATTTTATTTTATTTTATTTTAAAGATTTTATTTTTTTATTTGACAGAAATCTCAAATAGGCGGAGAGGCAGGCAGAGAGACCGAGAGGAGGAAGCAGGCTCCCCACCGAGCAGAGAGCCCGATGCGGGGCTCAATTCCAGGACCCTGGGACCACGACCCAAGCTGAGGGCAGAGGTCTTAACCAACTGAGCCACCCAGGTACCAACAAAAAGTCTTTAAAGTGACACTTTTCAGTTTGTGCTTTACACTCAAGGCATTCATTCTTTCTTGCAAATCTTTGTCAGATGTAGTGATGTTTTCACTTTCCAGGAAGTACTAGTTCCTCCATATTTTCTCTAACTTGTGCTTCTAGATACAATTTAGCTCATTTCTTGTTTTCTGTACCTTTCAAGTTAGTGTAGGAGACACTCTGGCTGATTGCTGAGCAGCTGCCTGACACAGGTCCCTATTTTTCTTGCTGTTATAGAGCAGTTTTCTCACTGCTTCTTCAGCTTCCATTAACAGTTTGCTCACCATTTTTAACTCCCCTCAGAGTTTTCCACTACATTTCTACCCACTACCCAGTTTCAAGGCCATAAATTTTTTTTTAAAAGATTTTATTTATTTATTTGAGAGAGAGTGAGAGAAAGAGCACAAGAGGGGAGAGCGTCAGTGGGAGAAGGAGACTCCCCGCTGAGCACGGAACTGGATGCAGGACTCCATCCTGGGGCTCCAGGATCATGACCTGAGCTGAAGGAAGTCACCTAACCAACTGGGCCACCCAGGCGCCCAAGTCCATAAATTTTAAGTTTGTGTTATAACAACACGCCATTCCTGGTACCAGCTTATGGAGCAGTCATTCCTTGTTGCATAACAAACACCCCCAAAATTAGGGCCTTCAAGCAACAACCATTTTTACTTAGCTCACAATTCTGCAGTTCAGCAACTGCACCTGAAGGGACTTCCTGGTCTGGGTCAGGCTTGGGCTATTCCCAGGTAGGCTTCTTTGTGTGTCTGGGATAGCTTGGATAACTCGGATGTCCAGAGTCTTCATTCACACAGTCCCTCATCTTCCATTAAACTAGACAAGCTTGTTTCTATGGTAGTGGAAATATTGCCAGGAGCAAGAAAGTAAGTCCCAATTCACAAACTATTCATGTTCTTGCTTCCATAACACGATCTATTGTCCATTAGCCAAAGGAAGTCAACTGGCTGATAGAATTAAATACAGGGAGGGGAATTATAGTGGCCATGTCTAAACTGTAAGACACACTTTTCCTTTGTATTCATGTATCATCTATGGGATGATTCCTTGAAGTCATGTAAATCTTGTACCTCAACTTTTTTACCTGAGGGTTTTATTTTATTTTAAAGATTTTTAAAAAAATTATTTATTTGACAGAGAGACAGAGAGTACAAGCAGGAGATCAGCAGAGGGAGAGGGAGAAGCAGGCTCCCTACTGAGCAGCGAACCCACTGTGGGGCTCGATCCCAGGACCCAGGATTATGACCTGAGCTGAAGGCAGATGCATAACTGCCTGAGCCACCCAGGTGCCCCTACCTGATGGTTTTAGTATCCATTAATATTATGCTGTGAGTTACAGAATGGTGGTTTTCTATTTTATCATTCTTCCTGTATTTATTAACTGGCATGCAGTAAAGAAAAATTCTTTCCCTCCACTTTTCTGCATCTATTTTTGTGACTATCCCTACAGATTCATGGATTGTTAAAGTTCAGTAAGTTGTAATCAATAAACTTAATGATTCATTCTTCCTTCTTTCCTTCTCAAATTGTCTCAGATTTGGCTTACAGGATCTCCTTCAAACCAACTTCTATGCCCTTTTTGACATGACCTTATTAGTCTTTGAGCCCTTTCTTCTTTTGGGAGCAAGATATTGATGTTTCATGTTTACCTTCCACTTTCCCTGTCTCAGGGTCTGGAGTAAGTCAAGAGGATTCCTAATTTCTCCAATTCCTTTTAATGGGCAATGGTATTCAGAAATCAAGAATAGACATTAGATATGTTCAATGTTCTGTAATGTTGTTGTTTTAAGACCATTTCTATGGACAGAGCTAGGAAATAAACACAAACAGATACACACCTACACAAAACTGTGAATTTATAGAAAAAAAATTATATTCTTGAGGACAGAGAGCCTTTTTCAGAAAGATAAAACTCAGAAGTCATAAAGGGAAGGTCGACATGTTTGACAATGAACAGCTCTGCACAGTATGCTTGCAAGTTCAAGAAGTGATCATTGGATCATACTCCTTGTGAGTTTCCAATTTTGAGACATGGTGGTGGAGGAAAACTGTCCCCAGAATTTGTTAGCTGTCCTAATTTAGCATTTTTGAAATCTTACACCTGATCCCAGGTTTGGTTACCTCTAGGAGTTTGATTTCTCTTTATTGAACCTCTTCTGCTTCCCTTGGACGGAAAGGGGAAGGGTCCATCATGGGCATATCTGGGTGCTGAATGGCCACTCCGTGGGCAGTACAGAGGAAGGATTAGAGATGCTAAATATTTTAGAGATAAAATGATAAATTTCTTCTTTTGTAATTCTGCCAAGGTCAGCCCTGGGTTGAGGTGTTATGAAGTGGCCTTGGTAGCACCTGTTAGCATCTGTCCTTGCTCAGGAGTCTAAAGGACATATGACAGTTCCTCAAAAGATTAAGCATAGAGTTGCATTTAATCCAATTATTCCATTTCCAGATACATACATAAAAGAACTAAAAACAGAGATTCAAACAGATACCTGGATGCCCATGTTCATAACAGCATTATTACCGTTATTCACAATAGCCAAAAGATGGTACAAACCCACATGTTCGTGAACAGATGAATAAACAAACTGTAGTATATACATCCAATGGGATGTTATTTGAGCTTAAAAAGGAATGAAATTCTGATCCATGCTATAACATGGATGAATCTTGAGGACATCATACTGCACAAAATAAGCCAGGCATAAAAGGACAAATATTGTTTGTTTCCTCTTATATGATGTTACAGACTGAATGATGTTCTACAATTCGTATGTTGAAGCCCCAACTCCCAATGTTTGGTGATAAGACCTTTATGAAAATAATTGCAGTTAAAGGAGGTCATAACAAACCATAAGAGACTCTTAATGTCATAAAAAAAACTGAGGGGGGTCGGGGGGAAGGGGGCGGGAGAGGGTGGTTGGGTTATGGACATTGGGGAGGGTATGTGCTATGGTGAGTGCTGTGAAGTGTGTAAACCTGGTGATTCACAGACTTGTACCCCTGGGGCTAATAATACATTATATGTTTATTAAAAAATAAAAAAATTTTTTAAAAAAGGAGGTCGTAATAAATCTCTGATCCAGTAAGACTAGTGTCCTTGTGAACTGGTCATGAGCACCGGGTTTTGTATAAAAATGTTGAATCACTATATTGTACACCCAAAAATAATATCACACTGTATGTTAACTAACTGGAATTTAAATAAAAGCTAAAAAAATAAAAAAAGACTTGTGTTCTTATAAGATGAGACACCAGAGAGTTTTCTCTTTCTCCGTCTTCCTCTCTCTCTCTCTCTCACTCACTCTCTCTTCCTCTCCTTTCCTCCCTACCTGCTATGTGAGAACAGGTGAGAAGGTGGCCATCTGCAAACCAGGAAGAGAGCTGTCACCTCAACCACACTGGCACCCTGATCTCGGACTCCCAGCCTCCAGAACTGTGAGGAAATAAACGTCTGTTGGTTAAGCCACACAGTCTCTCCTATTTTGTTATGGCAGCCTGAGCTGACTGACATCTGAGGGAACCAGAGGAGTCAGATTCATAGAGATAGATTGTAGACCAGGGGTTAGCAGGGTGTAGGAGCGCTGCCAGCCCTGATGCCATCATGTTCTTCTGTCGGGCACATGGATCGGAAACCATTTTTGATAACTACCCTGTGGCCTCACCATCATGCTCCTCACTCTATAGAAGCTGTGGGTTGAGGTCCGGGCTGGATGGGGAAGAGCTGTGCGGTACCACCTGGACCGTGCATCCATCTCCCCACTGCCTGATGGCTCCTGTCTATAACTCACCCTAAAACAAAACTTGGTGTGAATGGTATGGAGTGGCTTGCTTCATTTTTCCATATTAAAGTGCCTTACTGATTTTCCTCTACCTTCTAAAAACTGGAGTAGTCAGCAAGATACGGAAAACAAAATGAGAGTGGATAAACAGGTGTGCCTGGGGAAAGCCCATTGTTCTTGGGTGAAGGGGGGAGGAACCCATTGAATTGGAATTGGAGCTATTGAGTTGCTTGAGCAAAGGGGCGGAGGAGGGTTGGCAGCTTGGGTGTTACAACTATGGGATACTGGGGGGGATGGTATTATGTTAACTGGGTTTAAAATGTTAGAGATGGCCTCAGTTGCTGCTTGGCCTGTCTCAGACAGAAATACAGAGATTGTGTGCCTCAGGCAGGAGTGAGAATTGCAGGTGCTTAGCTAATTTAATTGACTGGATAAATGTTAGCATTGAGATAACCTAGACTAACGAAGGGGATGCTCCCTCCCCTCCATTACTCTGAACCTCTATGGAAGAACTACAAGAAATTGAATGTGAACTGGGAATGAAGTACGCCATTTATGCCCAGCATTCTAGAAGCCCAGATGAAGAATTAGTTTCCCCTGGGATGAATGACGCTATCTTATATTCAACCCTGGGGTCATGTGTGGGACTTTAGTATCTGTCGTTGCTGCAACCGCTGTGGAGGCCGACTTGAGTGAAACTGAATCTGTCATTAAGGAAAATAGACGGATGGAAAAATGGGGAAGAACAAAAGGTCCTGCCACAATATAATGGTGGAAAGGGGGCCCATTAAGGCTCTCATAAACAAGTACGGCAAGATCTAATATTATCTCGGACCTGGAGAGACAATGTAAAGAAACAACCCAATGAGGTCTTCTAAGCTTATGGAAGGCATTGCCTAAGAGAAAGTTCTCCTTTGAAGGCAGGCTCAAAAAGCCAGATGCATCGCCAAGTGCCCTTCCACTGATGAAGGGATTTCAGGGTTGGCTATTCCCACCCCTAGAGACTAGGTGTCAGGCAGCATTGTCCTCTAGGGCCTGCAACAGCAGGTGACCGGAGGCCCCATGTTGAGTTAACCATTCACTGGTCTTGCACTAACAACCAGACTATACTAGCTCTAACAGACACTGGAGCTAAATGCATACTTATCTAGGGAAAGCCCTCAAAATTTCAGGGAGAAATAAAGGCTTTCAGTGTTTATGGGGGGGGGGGTGCAAATTATCAAGGTTTGACAACAATTCTATCCCCTACAGATTGGCAGGCTTCATCCTGGATGTTTCCTAGTGCATATTTCACCCATTCTGAGTGTATTTTGGGCACAGATTTTTGAATCTAACTACAATGACTAGTGAATTCCAGTTGTGTATCCAAGTAGTGAAACTTGTTCTCACCCGTCATGCAAAACGGGAACCTATATAACCGCCTGTTCCCAGAGAGTAATAAACATAAAACAATATAAGCTATGGGGTGGGGTGGGGAGGGCATGATGAGATTATGGACATTAAAGAATTAGAAAAGGCAGGGGTAATCCGGACTACTCAAGCCCATTCATTAGTCTAGTTTGACCTATAAAGAAATCTAATGGGACCTGGTGAATGACTATAGATTATCAGGAACTCAATAAAGTTACTCTGCCCATCTTGCAGAGGTGCCTCATACAGACTTGTTAGAAGAAGATCATGATATCCATTAGACATATCATCATGTATTGGGCCTACGAAGCCCTTTTCAACATTCCAACAGGACTTGAACCTGGAGTCCAATTTGCCTTCATGTGGAATAGGAGAAATGGACCTTCCAGGCATTGCCCCCAAAGGTACCTCCATAGTCCCATGATTGGTCCCAGGACAGCAGCCAGAGATTTGGAACAATGGATATTGCCAGAGGAGATGGTGCCTTTATCATTAGGTAGATGATGTCATGTTAACTTGGGATGATATTCTCCTTGTCTCAAGTAGCTGTGTCATTACAGGCATACTTCAAGTCAGGAGGAGATCTGTGGGCTGGGTTGTTCAAGGAAGGCCCTAGTGTCATCTGGTTGGGTAAGACAAAGTGATGCCAGATGAGGTCAATGATGAGATACAAGCCTTCCCCACAGACGCTCACTGGTTTAAAAGGTTACTGGGAGACCTTTTGTTCCCCATCGAGAGCAGATATTAAGACCTTCGTATACCTTGGTTAAGAAGGGAAGCTGATGGGATTGGGGTACTCACCAACAAGAGGCTTTCTTAAAGGCAGAAATGGTCGTAAAACATATCGATGGGGGTACTGATGCCAGAGGTGAGCTGTGAATTCGATGTGGGTTCATATCCAGAAGGGTCCAGCTGGGGCTTGCGGCACTGACATGATGGGAAAGGAATCCCATAAGGATTCGGGTCTCATTTACGGAAGGGAACAGAAACCAGGTATAGTCTTCTCGAGAAGTAGCTGTCAGTTGTCTATCCTGCACTGCAACAGATGGAAGGACCGACCACCAACCTGCCTGTGATGACAGGAACCTTCCTGCCAGAGTGAGAATGAATTAAGAATATGTTTAGCAGGCTGAAGACTGCCTGTGCCCAGAAAAGCACCTGAGAGAAATGGTACATTTACCCCCTACAGGAGAGAAGCACACACATGCCACTGCCTGCCGTCCTGTGCCTTGGTTATAGGGCTGGTCACTTATGGCCCCCCCAGCCCAGCAGTATGCCTCCCCTGCCCCAAGTAAAAGAAGGGGAAGGCTGGCTCCTGGAGGACACGTAGCACGCTGATGGCAGTGCCAGGAAAGCCACCTGTCTGGCATTTCTTGGTCACCAACTGGATCCTGATGTACTTTGCTTGGAAAAAGGAACTCAAAGTAGGGAGCAGAACGGAAAGCAGTAAGGATTGCATTGACGGGTGAACTTGTGCCCATCAGTGTGACCGCCAGCAGCCGGGCAGTGTGGAAGGGCTGAACAACACGGCTGCTACTGTGGTGCAGAGAAGGCTGGGCTACATGAAACACACCCCCGTGGGGAGCAGGACTACGGAAGGGTACTGGGGAACATGCACCGAACCCGAGGCCGCTTTCCAAACAGGGCATGTGTCTGCTCGCTCGGTATCCACGCTGCAGGGCCATCGAGAGTCAGAGGAGTTGGCCTGAGCCCGAGCCCTTCTGCGGAGGAAGTGCTGATCCCGCCTGATGGAGCAGAACGGGCCCACCGTAAATCAGGACACTGCGATCCTAACACCACTCGGGGAATAGTAAAAGGATTATGTTTGCCTTTAAAATCTGCAAGCTGGGGGTGCCTGGGTGGCTCAGTGGGTTAAAGCCTCTGCCTTCCGCTCAGGTCATGGTCTCAGGGTCCTGGGATCGAGCCTCGCATTGGGCTCTCTGCTCAGTGGGGAGCCTGCGTCCCCCCGCCACCTGCCTCTCTGCCTACTTGTGATCTCTGTCTGTCAAATAAATAAATAAAATCTTAAAAAAAAAATAAAATAAAATCCGCAAGCTGCTGACAAGGACTGCCCCCAGTGCCCTGCCACGGTGGTGGCTGTGGTGATATATACCTGGGGTGTAAGGGGGTGCTCCGTGCCCTGTTTCTCACTGCAAATAGACAATATAGGTCCCTTTGCTGATATCCCAAGGGCACAAGTAGATGCTGACCTGTGTCACATTGCCACAGGAGTTTACAGGACTTTGCCTGGAGAAGAGCGCATCAGGCTGCCCCTGCAGAGGGATGAACAAAACTAGAGGGCATGGGCCAACACCAACTCAGATAGTGATCAGGGGACACGGTCTACCAGCCATGATGCCCAAGCCCAGGCAGAGGCCCCGGACGTATGATGGACTTCCCACTTGCCCTCCAGTCCCACTGCTGCTGGCCCGATGGAAAGGACGAAGGGACCAATGAAAACCATGTGAAAGAACTGATCTCTCAGAGGATGGTCTCCAAGACTAACACAGGCTGTTCGACTCCTTAACCTCACCCGGGGCATGTGAACGTCTAAGCAGCCACGGCCCCTCAGCTGGCTCTCTGGCCGCAGGTGCTGTGAGGTGGCTCGAGGCCTGTCCCTGGAGGGGGGACTCACTTTGCAATTGCCCGGAGACCTCACACATGGTAAGACTTCAGTGCATCGGAAATTAGTTTGGAGTGTGCCCCCCACCCCACCCAAACCAGGTGGCTTGGTGTCCTGATCCCTTGGGCCGAGGGCTCACGTCTGGTATTAACCCCTTGTTGTACATTGGTCAGGGCCCAAGACACACACAAATAACCGTTGTTGAACCTCTGATCTTGGCACTGAGGTAGGGTTGTCAGTATGGGTCCCAACCAAAATGCCTCTCGATATAGACGTATCCTCTGATAATATTAAGGGGCAAACTGCATGGTATTATCACCCAGGGGAACTACCGAAGCCAAGGGCAGTGTTGGCTCAAGGGGACCAAACCACTACCATGTTGTTGCTCAATGAAGATTTGCCATCTCTGTGGCCTGTAAGCCATTTGTCTTCTCACCTCCGGCCTCGCAGTGTGGATGCTTCCGATCCTGTTGCATCAGGAAGCACCTTCTGGTCACAGGCCACCATTTACCATGAAGGTACAATTGCCCTGACTGTCGGGTCTGAGGAGACGACCTGTGTTCCAGGCCGCTGGGAAATCTCCAGTTTCTATTTCTGTGGTAGCAAAGGGAGAGGGATGCAGGCTGCCTCCTGCTATCTGGCCGTTGGATCATCGTGGCAGAGCTGTGTGCAAAGATTGCACAGGCCACGGAGATGTTGGGGGTGGCACGTGGGAGCGTGGCCAACACTGACTCTGTCTTTGGCTCTGCAGCTCGCTCTCCCCTCTGCGGCACAGGGGCTCCCTCTGGAGATAACTATCCTGTGACCTCACCACTGGGCCCCTCCATAAAATCATGGGCTGAGGGCTGGGCTGGGCGGGGAATGACTGTGTAGTACCACCCGGATCATCCGACCATCTGTCCGGGCGCCCCTGTCAGTAAGTTACAGTGAAACGCAGTGTGGGGCCTCCTGGGCAGCTCTGTCTGTTAAGCTTCTGCCTTTGGCTCAGGTCATGATCTCGGGGTGCTCCCTGCTCCGCTCTCCCTCCTCTTTCTCCCTCTGCCTCTCCCCCCTGCTCTCATGTCTCTCTATGTACCTCTCTATCTCTCTGTCTCAAATGAATAAATAAGATCTTTTTTAAAAAACTCAGTGTAAACCGTATGGAGGGGCTTGCTTTGTTTTTTGATATCGAAGTGCCTTCTCAGTCTGAAGGACACTTTCCTGACACTCTTCCATCTTCTAACAGGGTCGGGGGGAGCGGGAATGAATTTGGTACAGAGTTTTAATGTAGGATGATGGGCGGTAGTGATGGTTGCAAATGATGAGAATGTACTTAATGCCACTGAACTGTATACTTAAAAATGGCTAAAATAGTAAATGTTATGTTAGGCATGTTTTGCCACAATTTTTTTAAAAAGGGTCTTTTAAAAATATATATATTTTATTTATTTAATTGAGAGACAGAGAGAGAGAGGGCATATCAGCAGAGGGGCAGAGAGATGGGGAGAAGCAGACTCCCCACTGAACTGGGAGCCCCATGAGGGGCTTGATCCCAGAACCCTGAGATCATGACTTGAGCAGAGGGCAGATGCTTAACTGACTGAGCCACCCAGGTTTTTGTTTTTGTTTTTTTTTAGTAGGAGGAAAAACTCCAAAACAACAAAGGATGTAAGGGACATCTGGCCCATCTGAAACCCCAATACTACATGATCATCCCGGCCATAGTGTCGCCTTTCCCATCCCCTCACCACGGGCACAGTGAAGATGTCCTCCCACCAGGGCCTTTGGAATCACATAGCTCAGCAAATGACAAACTGGAGAACATTTTAAGTTCCTTCTAAATGAGCTCTAGAGCTCTGCTGTCACTGAATTTAAAAGTCGTTTCCCCGAGAGGGAAAGAAACATTGAGAAGAAGAAAATGTTTGCAGCTGGAGCTTGAATTAGCAGTTTTGTCTCCAAAGACCGGAAAACACCTGGTCCTAGCAGACTTTCTATTGAATTTTATATGGTTTTCAAAAATAGACTAATTCTTAGCTGACTGGCAAGATTGAGTTATGTTAGGTTGTCTAACAATTTTATCTGAGCTCAAGCATCACACAATATTTTTTAGCAGGGAGAAAACTACACAAAATTACTGTCCTATCTTTCCTAGATCAGGTTGTAACTTTGATAACTCAGGAAGCTTATAACAGAGCAAAGCACATATTATTGAAGAACCCCCGAGGGCATGCAATTGATTTAAAAAAACCTTCAAACTCCAGAGCCTTGTTACTCTGAGCCCGTTCTCAGACCGGCAACGTTAGCAGTTTCCCTGAGCTTGTTAGAAGACCCACTAAGACCCAGTGAATCGGAACCTGTATTTTAACAAAATTTCTAGGAATGCTAATTAAAGTTTGAGAAGCCTTGCTATTGATCACTGTTTCTCAGAGGGTGGTTTTTAGACCTACCCCAGCAAAATTGCCTGGGAATACTTATTAAAAATGCATGTTCCTGGATCCTGCCCAAGACCCATGAAAATCATCCCATATGATTCTTGGGCAAACTAGCTTGACAACCACTGCTGTAGCTGTAAAAAAAAAAAAAAAAAAAAAAAAAAAAAGTGTGTTTTAAAAAGCTACTCTGAGGGGTGCCTTGGTGGTTCAGTCAGTTAAGCTTCTACCTTTGCCTCAGCTCATGATCATGGGGCTCTGGGATCGACTCCCACATGGGGCTCCCTGTTCAGTGGGGAGTCTGCTTTACCTTCTCCCTCTGCCCCTCCCCAACTCTCGCTCATGTGCTCTCTCTCTCTCTTAAAAAACTAAATAAAATCTTAAAAAAAAAGAAAAAGCTACTCTGGCGATTCAGATACTCTCCCCCATCCCCCAAAACTCCCTCCTCTGGGAACCACTCTTAAGAACGTGAGGTTTCTCAGTGAGCCTGCGATGGGGGTAGAGAGAAGCAAAACTCTCAGTGATAGTGGGATCTGAGGGGCTCTGACTCCACACACCCAGTGTGAATGAATTTTTAAGGATGTTTCTTTGTCTGAGTCCATTTTCTCAATCTCAACTTCTCTCTCTCTCTCTCTCTCTCTCTCACACACACACACACACACACACAGGCACGCACACATGTTCCTTGATGGGTTTAAGATAAGACTGGGAGTCAGAGGCAGATGACCTTTGCACATGAACCCTCAGAGGGGTAATTCTAGGCTGACGTGGGGTTCAGCCCTGTCACCACACTTGTCTCTGAGCAGCTGCCCAATGCCTTGTGAGGACTCGGTGTGGCTCTAATCGCCTTCCTCTCCCCACGTTAGACTGCAGCCTTCCTGTTCCTGATGTGGCAGCTTCTCCCTCATCATGTGTATCATGAGACCTAACGAGCACCAGGCAGCATCTCCCACCGGTTTGCAGTCACGTCCATGTCATCATTTGGCTCTTGCCTTGTGCCTCACTTGGGGCACATGCGCACATCCGGGGAGCCATCCTGCACAGGCCCTTTCAGCCAACGCTGCAAAATTCATTTGTCGACGCAGACCTTTCCGAGCCGGTCACCCCATTATGAACGTCATCCTATTGGCCTGAGATAAAGGCCAGGAGTCTGGGAGGAGAAGGACCCAAGGCCTCTGGACACAGTGGCCATCACGTGGAGAAGGGGGACATAGCAGAGGTCACTTACTTCGCGGGTTGGGAACCTTAGAGGAAGGCCTACGCTGGCCATTATTTCTCACCCCAGCGCTCCAACTAGCTATGGGGCCTGGATCAAAGTGACAGAAAGCTGACTGGACGCTGGAGCTGGAAGGGACCATGCAGAAGGTCTGTCAGGCCCATCTTGAGCATAGGAGCACACTGACAGCCTGAGGGGCAGGGCAACCACAGTGAAGTGGGCCGTGGGAGTGTGTCGGAGGGGGTCATCTGGAGGACGTGCCCTCCAGTGGACCCGAGAGCTGGATGTGGGCAATGAAAGTCTCACCCCCTCCCTCATCCTTGGAACATATGTTCAGCCTCCTAGTCCCACCCTAGCAGCTATTTCAAGGACATAGTCTTGAGAGAGTAAATTGTTGAGACCATCTAGACCCAATGCATGACTGAAACCAGTGAAGCCTTCTCTATAAACTTTTAAGATCTGGGTGCAAAATGTGGATGCAAAAACATACTCATTTTGTGACTACCCAAGACATGCCCCATTTGTAGGTTCTTTTGCTAAAATGGCCACATACCAATTGGGAGTGGTCTGCCTCTTCAGTCTCTCCTTGCCTCCTGGGTTTCAAGATTTCATTGATCCAGGGAACACCTGTAGTTCTAAACTGACACATGGGCAAAGAGTGACCGGAGCTGTGACACTGATCTCACAGGGCTGTGCACCATGAAATATATCTGCCTTCACGTGGAAGCCGGAAGACTGGCTCAGTAAGCGTTGAGTCCTCATCTCGCATGTAACAGTAAATGTCATATCTACAACAGGACGGCAGTAGCACTTTGGGAAAATGGGCTTTAACGTTAGACATGGGCTCACATGTGGCCTTTCTAGTCATTTGCTCATGGGACAGAGGGCAAGTGACAATTCTAAGAGTTGCAGCCCCCACATCTGGAAAATGGGGCTAATTCTGTTGTTGGAAAATAGTGTTGTTAGAAGAGTTAATGGGGTACTGTGTATAAACTTTGGTGTTTTGCAAACTTGAACGAGCCTATGCATTCTGGTTCTATGCTGCTCTGGCGTTGTCAAGAATCTGCAGTGCCAACAAGTTCCCAGGTACAGCTGACGCAGCTGGACACGGGCCACACTCCAGGTAGCAAGGCTATAAAGCACTTACCAAGTGGGAGACCCAAGTTTCTTTTTAAATTTGTAACCTAAAAAATTTTGGAATAATGATGTCCTTGCAAAAAATAAAAATGAAAGCAGCACAAAGAACTCCCCAAAACCCTTTAGCCAACTTCCCCAAATGTGAGTATCTTCTATATCATCATCGTACTATTATCAAAACAAGGAAACTGACCTTGAAACAATACTATTAACTAGGCTTCAGGTATTTTTTTAAATTTCTCCAGTTGCCTCACTCATGCCTTTTTTTCTGGACCGGGATCCATGCAGGGTCACAAATCCTAGGTCACTGTCTTGTCTCTTCCGTCTCCTTTGACGTGGGACAGATTACATGAGAGACTTCTTTGCAGACGGCCATCACGACAATGACAACCCACCTGAATTTCATACTCATCTTTGAATTCTCTGGTTTTCAGAATTTAGTGTTCGTAAGAAGCACCCAGGGAGATTGTTTTACATGTTTGTTCCCAGAGAAACGAAGTCTGTAAAGCATTCGGCCGACCAGATTCTGCGAAACCATGCCCAGGAGCCGCTGGCTCTGCTTTACTGAGCACTTGCCTGGGATCACTCCTGATACAAGGACAAGCTCTGTTCCTTTAGAATATATTTTTTAAAGATTTTATTTATTTATTTGACGGAGAGCGAGAGAGGGAACTCAAGCAGGAGGAGTGGGAAAGGGAGAAGCAGGCTCCCCACGGAGCAAGGAACCCCATGCAGGGCTCAATCCCAGGACCCTGAGATCATGACCTGAGCCGAAGGCAGAGGCCTAACAGACTGAGCCACCCAGGCACCTCTTTAGAATATTTTTTAAAGCCTGACAGTGATATAGTGACATTTTTAGAGATGGTATAGACCTCCTCTCCCCACTCTGCTTCCTTTCATAACAAAAGAGGAAGTCCAAGGGCGTGCCCTGTTTTGCACTTCGCCAAGTCACTTGACATGCCCTTTGGTTTTCCCTGTTTTCTGGGCAGTTCTGGGTTCGCACCTCCTCAAAGTTTGCCACAAGGGGGCACCAGTGACTTCCTCCCAGACCTCAGACTGCAAATCAAAATGGCCAAATTGGCAAGCAATTAGCAAGAGTTTGAAGAGTCATGGGATGTTTTATCAGGCAGTCTTTACTACCTATGGCCTTGAAGATCTGGATCTTTCCCCCTCGGAACACATTAGGATGGATCCCAGAACTGCTGACTTTGGGCCACGGCTCCATTGATAATGATTAAAGAGGTTATGAACATGGAGATGTGGGGGGTGCCAGGTTGGGCTGGGCCTGGGGACTTCAGCCTGCGGGGTTTGGTCTAGGCTGTGCTGGGCAGAAAGGGTAGTTGTGAATAACGTGGCAGTTGTGTAGAGGCTCAAATAAAGACTTGTGGTTTTGATACACTGTCTCCATCGAGTCCTAATGATCTTTTTCATACATTCTTTCTCCCTGAGAGCAGGGAACAAAAATAACACTCGGCATGGGATCTCAGCACTCACCTTCATCAACTCCCAGCACCGTCCAAGGGGCTTAGAAAAGAAGGGCCTAGGTCAGTGACTATGTCAGGCCATAGTCACCCTATGTCAGTGATTAGTGTGTTTTTCAGTGGCAGAGAGGGCCCAAACCTACCTCTCTGCAAGATTATCGGTGTGCTGGGGAAGGTTCACCAACCAGCACTCCAAACAAACAACTAACGATTTTTAACTTTTATCTATTTCTGTGGGGATAAATACCTTCCTCCTGGCTGATTTCAAGCTGTCAAGGCGACCTTACTAAATGCCAGGCTGAGAAGAGATGCGGAGAAGCCCCCCTGTATAGAGTGTGTTTACCACATAAATATAACAGATGTGACCCCAAGGGCACATATTAGAGTAAAAACAGTAAAATAACTACAAAGTTATTGGATCTGAGTTCCTTGTTCTTAACATCTTTTAGTGGTGCTAAACATACATGACATAAAACTTACCATCCTTACCCTTGGGGCAAGTAATACAATATATGTTAATAAAAATAAAAAATTTATAAAAACCTTACCATCTTAACTATTTGTAAGTGTACAGTTCAGTAGGGTTATGTCTATTCCCCTTGTTGCGCAATCCACCTGCAGAACCGTCCTCACCTTGTAGAACTCAATCTCAGTATCCAAGCAACTCCTGTTTCCCCCTCCCTTAGCCCCCGGCAGCCACCATTCTACTTTTTGTTTCTATGAGTTTGACGACTTTGGGTACTTATGTAAGTGGAATCACACAGTATTTGTCCTTTCGTGGCTGTTTTATTTCACTTAGCATAATGTTTTCAAGATTTATCCATACTGCAGGATGGGACAGAATTTCCTTCTTTTTAAAGACTGGATTGTATTCCAGTGTATGTAAATAACACATTTTCTTTTCTTTCTTTTTTTTTTTTTAATATTTTATTTATTTATTTAACAGAGAGAGACAGAGAGAGAGATCACAAGTAGGCAGAGAGGCAGGCAGAGTGTGGGGGGAAGCAGGCTCCCCGCGGAGCAGAGGGCCTAACATGAGGCTCAATCCCAGGACCCTGAGATCATAACCTGAGCTGAAGACAGAGGTTTAACCCACTGAGCCACCCAGGTGCCCCAATAACACATTTTCTTTATCCACTCGTCTGTTCATGAACACTTGGGATGCTTCTACCCATTGGCTATCATGAATAATACTGCTATGTATATGGTGTATAACTCTTTGAGATACTGCTATACATATATGTGTAATATATATATGTATGTGTGTATATATATTAGAAATATATTACGTATATAATATTATATATTATATATATACATATATATTATGTATATATATGTGTATATATGTATATTATGTATATATATATATATGTACATATGTGTGTGTGTGTGTGTAACCAGAGTGTGATTGCTGGACTATATGGCAATTCCATTTTTAGTTTTTGGAGGGGCCGCCATACTGTTTTCCATAGCAGCTGCACCATTTTACATTTTTTGCTAACAGTGCACAAGGGTTCTAATTTCTCTACTTCCTCACCATTTGTTATTTTCTGCTTTTAAAAAAAAATAGTCACTATCCTAATGGGTATGAAGTGGTATCTCCTTGTGGTATTGCTTTGTATTTCTCTAATTCTCTAATTTCTCTAATTCTCTAATGATAAGTGATGTTGAACATCTTTTCATATGCTTATGGATATTTGTGTAACTTTTCTGGAGAAACTCCTACTCAAGTGTTTTGCTTTTTTTGTTTGTTTGTTTCTTTTCCATTTTATTTTATTTTATTTCTTTTCAGTGTTCCAGCATTCATTGTTTATGCATCACACCCAGTGCTCCACGCAATACGTGCCCTCCACAATACCCACCACCAGGCTCACCCAACCCCTAAACCACCTCCCCTCTAAAACCTTCAGTTTGTTTCTCAGAGTCCACAGTCTCCCATGGTTTGTCTCCCCCTCCAATTTCCCCCAACTCACTTCTCTGCTCCATCTCCCAGTGTCCTTCGTGTTTCTTTGTTTTTTTATTGTTTTTTTTGTTGTTGTTGTTGTTATAGGAGTATTGCATATATTTTTGATATTAATCCCTTATCAGATATATGATTTGAAAGCATTTTCCCCCATTCTATAGACTGCCTTTTTTACTCTGTTGATGGCATCCTTTGATGCATAGAAAGTTTTAATCTTGATGTAGTCTAATATATCAATTTTTACTTTTGTTCCCTATGCTTTTGGTGTCATATTCAAGAAATCATTGCTAAATCCAATGTCATGAAGGATCCCCCCCTATGTTTCCTTTAAGAGTTTTATAGTTTTAGGTCTTACATGTAGGTCTTTGATCCATTTTGAGTTAATTTGTGTATATGGTGTAAGGTCCCAAAACTACTTTTTGAAAAGAGTATGCTTTTCCCATTGAATGGTCTTGGCACTCCTGTCAAAATTCATGTGGCCATATAAATGAGGGTTTATTTCTGGACACTCTATTCTAGTCCATTGGTCTATGTGTCTGTCTTTATGCCAACAACACGGATTTGTTTATTGTAGCTTTGTTGGTAACTTTGAAATCAGGAAGTGTGAGATCTCCAACTTTGTTGCTTTTCAAGATTGTTTTGGCTATTCAGCATCCCTTGAGATTCCATATGAATTTTAGGCTGGACTTTTCTTTTCTGAAAAAATTGGCATTTGGAATTTGAGAAGGACTGCACAGATTCTCTAGGTCACTTTGGATTGAACAATGATAATGTTAACAATGTTAAGTCTTCCAGTCCATGAACACAAGCTCTTCTTTCATTTATTGTTGACTGCTTAATGTCTTTCAGCAATGTTTTGTAGTTTTCAGTGTATATGTCTTTCACCTTCTTGGATAAATTTATTCCTAAGTATTTCATTCTTTTGGACACTATTGTAAATGAATTACTTTTAAAATTGATTTTCAGATTGTTGATTGTTGGTGTATGAAACACTACTACTTTCATGCTGATTTTGTCTCCTACAACTTTGTTGAATTGGTTTGTTCTAAAAAGTTGTTTTTTTTTTTTTAAAGACTTTATTTATTTATTTGAGAGAGAGAGAGACACTACAAGTGTGGTGAAGGGCAGAGGAAGAAGCAGAGTCCATGCTGAGCAGGGAGCCCGATGGTGGGACTCAATCCCAGGACTCCAGGATCATGACCTGAGCCAAAGGCAGATGAATGACTGAACCACCCAGGTGACCTCTAACAAGTTTTTTGAGGAATCTTTAGAGTTCTCTGTGTGAAAAGTCATGCCATCTCAGAAGATATGAACAGACACTTCTCCAATGAAGACATACAAATGGCTATCAGACACATGAAAAAATGTTCATCATCACTAGCCATCAGGGAGATTCAAATTAAAACCACATTGAGATGCCACCTTACACCACTGAGAATGGCCAAAATTAGCAAGACAGGAAACAACATGTGTTGGAGGGGATGTGGAGAAAGGGGAACCCTCTTACACTGCTGGTGGGAATGCAAGTTGGTGCAGGTACTTTGGAGAACAGTGTGGAGATGCCTCAAGAAATTAAAAATAGAGCTTCCCTATGACCCTGCCATTGCACTACTGGGTATTTACCCCAAAGATACAGATGTAGTGAAAAGAAGGGCCATCTGTACCCCAATGTTTATAGCAGCAATGGCCACGGTCGCCAAACTGTGGAAAGAACCAAGATGCCCTTCAATGGACGAATGGATAAGGAAGATGTGGTCCATATACACTATGGAGTATTATGCATCCATCAGAAAGGATGAATACCCAACTTTTGTAGCAACATGGATGGGACTGGAAGAGATTATGCTGAGTGAAATAAGTCAAACAGAGAGAGTCAATTATCATATGGTTTCACTTATTGGTGGAGCATAACAAATAGCATGGAGGACAAGAGGAGATGGAGAGGAGAAGGAAGTTGAGGGAAATTGGAAGGGGAGGTGAACCATGAGAGACTATGGACTCTGAAAAACAATCTGAGGGGTTTAAAGGGGTGGGGGGTGGGAGGTTGGGGGAACCAGGTGGTGGGTATTGGAGAGGGCATGGAGCACAGGGTGTGGTGCAAAAACAATGAATACTGTTATGCTGAAAAGAAATAAAAATTTAAAAAAAAAGTCATGCCATCTATAAGCAGAGATTATTTTATTATTTTCTTTCCAGTTTGCATGCATTTTTTTTTTTCTTTAATTCTTTTTCTTACCTAATTGCTCTGGCTAGGACTTCCAGTATTATTCTGAATAGAAGTGGTGAAAGCAAGCAACCTTGTGTTGTTTCTGATACTAGAGGAAAAGCTTTCAGTCTTTCATCATTGAGTATGATGTTAGTGGCATTGTCATCTAGATCTTTATTATGTTGAGATTGTTTTCTTCTATTCCTAGTTTGTTGAGTGTTTTTGTCATGAGAAAGGGTTGAATTTGTCAAATGCCTTTTCTGTGTCAATTGAGATAATGTATTTTTCCCCATCATTCTGTGAATGTGTTATATTGATTGATTTTTATATGTTGAACCATCATTGCATTTCTAGAATAAATCCCACTTGTCCTGGTATATTATCCTTTTAAAGTGCTATTGAATTCTGTTTAACATTTTGCATTAATATTTATTAGGGATAGTGTTCTGTAGTTTTTTCTTGTATTATTATCTTTGTTATTATATAATTTATTTACCTGTAAGCTTATATAATTTATTTTTTTAATACTGTTTAACAACCAGTTCATAAAATTCCTGAAAATCTAACAATTGGTTCTCATAAGTCAGTGTGGTTCTAACACATTACTGGCTAGATTTTGTGTCTCTTTTCCTTTTGCAATTTGGGGCACATTAAATTGAGAGACTTGCTTAATTGTGCTTAATCACAGGAACAGCAAGAGATAAAGAGTACATCTGTATGTCAACTTACTTGGCGAAGAAATAAAGGTCCAGAGCAAGTATTAAGTTGTAAATTGTTTTCCCAGCCCCCATCTGACTGCATCGTCTTGACAGAATTCAGTTATTTTTAAGGGAAGGCACTATAGATTTTATCTCTTTTTCTCTCTCTTTTGTTTAACATTGGCCCAATTGAATACTTTACTTTTATGATCTCATTCAATTGTCTCAACAAGTAGGTACTATTATTTCTCTCATTTTAGAGATTAAAAACACTGAAGTTTAGATAGGTTCAGTAACTCACACAAAGTCACACAGCTACATAGATGTACAGTCAGGATTTGAACCAGAGCTGCCAGGGTTTCAGTTGTCATCTGATCATGATTGACTCATGGTAGGATATAAATTGCCCCATTGGATGTTGACTGTTGATGTATAACTGTGTTTCTGTCTTCGAATACAGAGTATCTACAGCTCTGGCTCCATCTACGTTCTATCCACACCTTCTTAGGAACTATGGGGTAAATTTCAGCCCAAGGACTGAACAAAGACACACTTGGACTATGGGAAAGGATGTAAGTGTCTCAGGTATCAGTCGCCTAGCTATGCCATACAGCCACTTTTGGGATGTTTCCTACTTGGTCATAATGTAGTATCCTTCAAATATATTTAAAACATTTGATTTATTAAAATTTTTTAAAGATTTTTTTTGTATTGATGTTTATGTTTTTCTGTATTGATCTGTAGTTT